ATGAAGCGTGGAAGCGGCTCGAGACCATCCACGTGAGCAAGACTCTCCACGGCAAGATCCTTGCCCAGAATTCGTTCTACACGGTGAAGATGCGCGCGGGCGAATCGATGCACGAGTATGCGACTCGTGTAGAGGATCTCGGGGAAACGTTCATGGACCTCGGTGGAACGGTCACGGAGGAGGATTGGATTTTGACCTTGCTATGCGGCCTTTCGGAAGAGTGGTCGACGGTGATTACGACACTCGATAGCGTGCAAGACACTGGGACGAAGGAAATGGTGGTCGGTCGGCTTCTCCATGAGGAATCACGTCGCCGACAATTCGCGAATGAGAGCGAGGGGACCGCCATGTACTCCGGAGGGAGTTCCGGAAAGAAGTCCAAGTGGAGCAACGATGCGACGAAGAAATCGTCCGGTGGAAGCGACCGCGACAAGGGAAACGCATCAAACGGCGCGAGCAAGTGCCACTATTGCGGCAAACCGGGACACTTTTGGCGAGAGTGTCGGAAGCGGCCGAGCGATTGGACTCCATCGAAGGCGCGGAACCACGAGGGCAACGCGCACACGGCATCCGGCGAGGCGGATGATTCAAAGGAGTCGCTCGTGTTATTGGCCGGCAACGGAAACAACACTCCAAGCGATGCGTGGTTCCTTGATACCGGCGCAACACAACACATGACGCACTCGGCGTCGCTCCTCAACAACATTGGTGCTCCGGGAGATGTCACGAGCATCGTGTTCGGAAACAACAAGTCGCTACCGGTGGTTGGAGTTGGGAGTACGCGCCTCATCGTCGATAGCGGACCGGTGGACGTCACGAACGTGCTTCACGTCCCAGGGTTGAAGGTGAACCTTCTATCCGTCCCGCAAATTGCGAAGAAGGGCGTGATCGCTACCATCGACGGTGCGAAGATGAACCTCTTTTGGAAGGGGGAGCAATTCGCACAAGGCGTTCTCAACGAAGAACTCTACCAACTCAAGACGCACCCGAGAGTGGCTCCAAGGCAACTCTTAAGGCGTGGCATAATCGGCTTGCGCACGCCAACTACGAGTCGGTCAAGGAGTTGGCCAACAAAGAACTTGCGAAGGGAGTCGACGTGATCGCCGGCAACGACGAGAAGGGCGTGTGCGCGGCGTGTGTCGAAGGAAAAATGGCTCGGAAGCCATTTGGTAGCCGTACCTCTCCACTCGCTAAAGACCCGCTTGCGCTTGTTCACATGGACGTGTGTGGACCGATGCGGTGCGCATCAAAGGGAGGAGCGCGGTTCCTCTTGGTGATGCTCGACGACGCGACACGGATGTGTTGGACCCGACTCTTGAAAGCTAAGGGAGATGCGGCCAAGGCAATTCAAGAGTGGGTGCTCGAAGTTTGCGACGACGACAAGAAGCGGGTCAAGGCTATTCGCACCGACGGTGGCGGCGAATTCGTGAACAACGAGCTTGAAAAATGGATGAAGAGCAAGGGCATAAAGCACGACGTCACAACACCCTACACACCCCAACAAAATGGAGCGGCGGAGCGGCTTAATCGAACGTTGATAGAGGCCGTTCGTTCACTTCTTCAACACTCCAAGCTTGGGAACGAGTGGTGGGGAGAGGCGAGTGCGCTAGCGGCATGGATTCGTAATCGTGTGCCGACAAAGGTGCTGCCGGGAACGACTCCGTTCGAAGCATGGAGCGGAACGAAGCCGAACCTATCCCTCCTACGCACCTTTGGGTGCCTTTGCTACTACCATGTACCGGATCCTCTTCGCCACAAGTTGCAACCGAAGGCTCGTGCGGCGATCTACATGGGCATTGCGGCAAATGAGCGTGCATGGCGAGTGTGGGACTTGGGTGACAAGCGCGTCGTCACGTCTCGGGACGTGGTCTTCGACGAAGACAAGTTCCCGACGATGGAGAAACCAACTCAACAAGTCACCTTCATCCTTCCGGCACGAGAGGAGGTTGAAGAAAGTGAGGTTCTACCTCAAGTGGAGAAGGAAGCCGAAGATGGAAGGGGAGAGAACAACGAGGAGAGCGTTGACGATGTCGTGGAGGTGTCACCAACCGAGGCGGCAACTACCTCCACACCTTCCTCCCTACCATTGGCCTTGGCTCGCGAGCGTCGTGAGGTTCGCCCTCACCCCAAGTACACTGACTACGCTACGGTAGCTGTTGGGGTGATGGATAAAGAGGGCGCGGCATATTGCTTTGCAACTCTCGGTGATGATGAACGAGTGGATTCTCTCACGAAACCACTTCCTATAGGTACATTCCGTACATGCTATGAGCATGCTGGATTGAACACCTAGTGGCTTGGGTGCAAGGGGGAGTGTTGGAGGTTGCGTGAGGCAACCTTGCCCCCAACCACCGAACGGTGTTGGCTTGGTGCTCACTTTCGAGTGAGTTGCAGGTTGGCGTGGGGTTGAAGGATCGACTTCACTGCAGGTTTCGCGAAGGTGCTGGTTGACTTCGATAGAACCTACACTTCGGTGCCACATGGCAGCACAAGAAGAATCGAGACTCAGAAAGAATTCGATTCGGTGAAATTCGAGAGTCGAATTTCACCCCTTCGATGTTACTCGAACATTCGAGTGTACCGCGGTTCGAGGTTACATGTGCGATTCGACGTTTTGCAGATCATATAAATGTGATTGCTTTGTATTGCATGGATCATATTAAGAACTTGAATCATCTTGTACAAGGTGAATTCGAAGTACAAAACCAGAGAGTTCCTATCCTTCAATCTAAGAGTACTACCTAGCACATAAACGGCGATATCTCGCTCGATACTTACGCAATCGAGGTGATCTACGGCTCGTTGGAAAGCTAGCAGAGTGCTCTACTGCTTAGAACAACTCCCAGTTCCTGCAAAGTAGAGGAGAGTCCTTTACAACAAGGACGCGTCACATTTGACACACCGATCCTGTGGGGGATCGGTGTGCATGGGTACAGTAACTTCGCCAATTCGTGAAAAGATGTGTATCCCTTTTTCGCCTATCTTCGTTGAAAACTTCCGATCTCGTTGCCACGATCGCGCACATTCCGATTGCCGAAATCGGAAGGCTCCAATTGCCACATCGATCGTGCAATTGGAAGCGCGGGAGATGAAATCGCGCCAATGGTTCTAGGCACGATCGATCGCCGTCGCCTTCCGTCGGCCACATTCGACGGGGTAACTTGGCGACATCACACAATGTTGGTAGGCTAAATATGCGCTCCTCCCAACGTGACGCAGGTTGGGCGCGTCGTCACCAACTGATGGGCGCGTCGTCACCAACATAGCGAAGCTGTACGATTCGCCAGCGAAGCATTGCGACACGCTACCTTTGGGTGAAGGTGTTGGCCTAAAATGTAACCAGCTGCAAATCCGATCGTGTCCCAAGTGGCTCGGGGGAGTGATTGACACTGCTCCCAAAGATTGAAATCCGTTTTGTCGCAATTGATATCTCCCTTTCTGGTGTGTGACCCCGATCCTTTGCCGGTGTGTCAAATGTGACGCGTCCTGAGGTACACCCAACCTGCGACTACAACTTTGGGGTCGCACGCGACAAACGAATCGATGCGACTACGATCGAGGGCGATCGAACGTGCTTGTCACCCATGGCTCCAGGCCCCACACCGCGCCCTTCAATCTCACAATCAATTTGCCTATGTGTTAAGAGCGTGTCCGAGGCGAAGCGTCGAATGGATGTCGCGGGATGTCGGTAAATGTCAACCCTCGGATCGAGAGTTCCAACCGTCAGGATTTGCCGACATCGGATGTCAACGGATGTCACGTTCACTTCGGACCCGCTATAAATCGATCAGGACACGTACAGGTGACAGAATCATGGGCACAGTTTTAGGGCGCGCCCCCTCCTTCGATCGATCGTGAGATCGACGTGAAAAACTGATCGGGCACACCGATCGCAGGATTGGGGCGGGATTGGTAGGAGGTGACAGTCGGGGATTGAACTCGAGCCCAGGGTGACAGGATCGAGAATTCAAGGGGGGGAAACTCTCGATCCTACAAAAGTTGAGATCGGTGTGGCCACAAAAGGCACATCGATCGTTATCAGCGGAGGTGACAAGATCGTTGGGCCTCAGTTACTGTACATTCGCTAGTCATCTCGAAATGTGGTAACCGTGTCAATTGCGACACTGTACCTGTCCCTCGATCGATCGAGGGCATGATCGACCGAGGGAGGGGACGCGCCCTTACTGTACGTTCGTCAATATTGGCAAAAACTGGTTACCTAGTTGATTACGACGCTACAGTGTACACCTATCGCGCATAACCGATCTTCCAGGCGATCGATCTGCTTCAGGTGACGCGTCCTCAGTGTGGTGGCTGGGGCGGCGGCGTTGATGCAGTTGCTCATATAGTCAACCATTGTGAATTTTGTGAGGAAATTCACGTCCATATGAAACATTCTGGTCTGGAGCTGTACTGTCAGATCCTTCCCCATTCCCTCTCCCCCTAGTACAATAGTTGTGTCTGGTCTAGAACCGCCCCGTCCGTCTGGTCTGGATGTTCGAGGGTTTTCTAATGAGCTGGTCGTGGCTGGAAAGAAATCGAGTGACAATACTGTAACGGGAAAGTCGGCAATACCGAGGGTGCTGGACAAACCGAGGGGGGAGGCAATAACGGGTATCTGTTATTCAACAAAATGTTGTTCCCCGCTAATGCATAGCGCTGTACGGTTATGAGCGGCGAGAGTTTGCCTGCTTTCGCAAATGGAAGATACACTGGCTCGTGAACCCCGGCCTCGTAAAAATATCTTTCATAATTAATGATCGCTTCTAAAGTTTCACTTCACCACGCCTTTAACGCGTCCTGCGTATTCCTCTATGCTCCTTCTACACACAACACTTGACCATTCCTGATCCTCGCCTCGCTTTCCCATCCTCGACCGTCCGTCCTCGCTCCTACGCCCCCTCCGCACCGCGTGTCCTGCTCGTTTCCGCCTGTTCGATTGGCGTCGCGTCTCGTCTCATATCGTCGCTTTCCGTCGCGTGTCGTCGCATCTCGTCGCCATGGATCTCGATCTTGAGGGAGTTCCCGAGGAGGATAAGGCGCGACTCACGCAGATGATCGAGAACGCGCAGCGACGAGATGGGTGAGCGGAGGCGTTTGGGATGGGTGAGACCGGTGCGTTACGGCGAGAATGGGTAGTAGATCCAAGGCACATGGTTCAGCCAGGGTGGATAAGGCTCGGAGCGTCTCACGCAGATGATCGAGAACGCGCAGCGATGGTTCAGCCAGGGTGAGCCTAGACTTTCGAGAGGGGTGAAAACGTCTTAACCTCCGGTTCGAGCAGTATTCATATCAGCCTGCAGTGTGTCCTAAGCCCGCAGTTTAGTGGATCAGCGTGTGTGGAAGTTTGCTAAAACAAGCTGCGTTTAGTTCAGGTTAGATGATCCGGATTGCACCTCCGAGACGAAGAATCGGCTTTAAGGTTTCCTTCTGGTGCGGACCACAGAACACCTAATCAAGTCCCTGGTCCTGATCAGGTCCCGATAAAGAAAAGGTATTCGGAGTTGCTTCAAATACTATCTGGGTTCCTGTTTAGGTCACAAGTATTCCTTCACTTGGCTCCTAATATTGAATCCCGTGTAAGAGCCGCATGAGGAACCTTTTGACGCCCAGCTGACTCCACCCACTAATTCCAGCCTTGCGTTGTATTGAGTCTCGACTGAACCAGTTCCCTTAAACTTAAGGTTCAAGTTGTACCAACGCCGAACCAGTCTGTATAAGGTTCAAGCTCTCATAATGCTGGTGGTTTGGTGCTTCGAGGAGTGCGTGGACAACTATAGGCGGAAGAATATTGAAGAACTGTTATGTGCCAAGTTTCCCTGTTCCTCCCCAAACGGACTCACCCCACGCTCTCCCCTCCCCCTTCCCTCCCCGTCCACACCCCCCTTTCCCTTCCCTGACCACACACACCAGAGATCGTTTGTACAGCTTGTAGCTTGTTGGTGGACCGGTGCTTTCGGGACTGTATGGACAACGTCAGGCAGTAAGAGTTTGATCCGGTGTTCTCTCGAAACCCTTCCCACACCAGAGCTCGTATGTACAACTCGTTGGTGGAACGGTGCTGGTCAGTTCCAGGCGGAAGACCCTGAATAAGGTCTCAGGACTTCTCATCACTCCTCCCCATCCCAATTCTATTCCCACTCCAGAGCTCGCATGTGCAACTCGCTGGTAGAAAGGTGCTTTCGGGACTGCGCGGACGCTTTCAGGCGGAAGACTTCTGACAAGCTCTCAAGTGTTCTCTTTCCCTGTTGCCCGTCCCCACCCACCCCCCTCCACCTCACATGCCAGAGCTCGCTTATACAATTTCAGGGGCTTGAGGGACTGCGTTGACGATTTCAGGTTTAGAACGCTTGATTGACCTCTCTCCTCCCTCCCCCCTTTTTACGACACCAGAGCTCGCATGTACAACTCACTGGTGGAGCGGTGCTTCAGGGACTGCGTTGACAACTTCAGGCGGAAGACTTTTGACAAGCTCTCATGTATTCTCTTTCTCTGTTGTCCCCCACCCACCCACCCTCGTCCACTGCACGTACCAAAGCTCGCATGTACAACTCACTGGTGGAGCGGTGTTTCCGGGTCTGCGTTGACAATTTCAGGTGGGAAGGCCCTGGATGAACCCTTTTCATTGTTCCACACCCAACCCCCTTTTACCACTCCAGAGCTCGCATGTACAACTCATTGGTGGAACGGTGCTTCAAAGACTGCGTGGACAATTTCAGGCGGAAAACTCTTGATAAGACGGAGGAGCAGTGTGTGAAGCGGTGTGGGGAGAAGTTTCTGAACCACTTTGCGAGAGTTGGCATGCGCTTTGCCGAGCTCCAATCAGGAGCTTCCAGTGAATAAAAGCCTTTCCGATCTGTCAAATATATGCATATCCTTACATAATGCAGTCCTGTCTACATTTTCACAATAATGGGGGTCTTTTGGTAGACAAACAGTATTGCAGCATGCAGAAGACTCTGTTAAGACACAGGAGCAATGTGTTCAGTGGTGTGCCAGAAAGCTTTTGCTGAGCTTCAACCAGGGGCTTCTAGTGAATGTAAATGGACTTGGCAAATATATGCGGATTGATGCATACAGAATGCAGTCAGGACGAGTGATTGAGTTAGGTTCGAGCGTTTATAAACGGGTATTCTTGTGGCTGTAGGTGATAGTGCGTCTGCTGTTGTTGAGCATACTTACCACGTGAAGGTGTTGAAGATTTCCGACAAGTGGCATGACATGCATTTCCACATAACCTCACCCGTTTCTCACGCTTACACCCACTTCTCGACCACGCGCTTCGACCTCACGCCCATTTCTACCGTACTTCGGTGTAGGGAGGCACACAATGGAGTTCGGCATTAGTTGTCATGGAGGCCTTAGACGGGCCGGTGCTGTTTCGTGTCGCGGACGCTACCGGCGATGCGGTTACCACCATCGCTAACATCGCTTCGGTCTCCCGCGCCTTCGCCCGTGTCGCCCGCTCGGAGCTATGGCCACGTTATTGCATCGAGCGCGCCGCCGTTGCCGAAGACGGCGAGGCGGCGGCGGTGGCGACGGTGGCGGCGCGGCTGGTGCGCGAGGCGGGCAGCGCCGATGCGCCGCGAAACGCGGCGAGCAGCCTGGCGCGCTGCATGAGTGCGTGCCCGGGCGTTCTACCCGCCTGCTCCATCGCGCTGCGGGTGAACGCGGCGCTGCACTCTAAATTGGACCGGTGGTCGCGTTGGCCCGAGGAAGACTCAACAAAATCGTGGAGCGAGACGGAGGAGGAAAGCGGCATAGACGGGGGAAGTGTGGGTGTGGGAGGCGGCAAGAGCGTCAATTCTCATGTCAGCGATTCTCATGTCAGTGACTCCTCTGTGCTGTGCTCCGCGCTCGCCACTCGGCTCTTTTTAGACGAGTGCTTCCTCCCCGCCTCCCCTTTCCGCCCATCGCCGCGCTTTTTGGGCGAGGTGGAAGGGGACGAAAGGGGGAAAGCTAGGGAGGAAGATGGGGGGGAAGGAGCGCAGGAGGGCGCGGCGGTGTTGATGGCAACAGGGGACTGTGGGCGGGAGCACAGGGCTGGGTTTGAACGATGTCAAGTGGTGCGGGGAGCGATTGCTGGGTTCAAGCACTCGCGGTAAGCCATGGTGGTGGTGTTCGGTGGAAGGGTGGTTGTTGCACCAGTCGCTGGCACGGGGTGTGAAGGGGTCAAGACCCCCGCTGATCTCACCAGCGGGATGGCCCACTGGTGAGACGCCTGCCTTGTGCTTCCTTTCAACGATATGCTTGCTCGTCGCTCCAACCCATGGCATGGGCTGCGCTCGTTGCCAGGCCTTGTGCAGCATGTTGCACAGGTGCATCTTGTGTATCCTGCCTCTTTTCCAATGCTTGGCTGCAGCTTTCACTGGATGCTGCAAGGCCAGCCGTTTGATCCTTGCACATGCCCCTTGTGCCACGACCAGGTGAGATGGTCAGTGTTCAATCATGCCAGGTGTTCAATCATGCCAGGTGTTCAATAATGCCAGGTGTTCAATCATGCCAGGTGTTCAATCATGCCAGGTGTTCAATAATGCCAGGTGTTCAATCATGCCAGGTGTTCAATCATGCCAGGTGTTCAATCATGCCAGGTGTTCAATCATGCCAGGTGTTCAATCATGCCAGGTGTTCAATCATGCCAGGTGTTCAATCATGCCAGGTGTTCAATCATGCCAGGTGTTCAATCATGCCAGGTGTTCAATCATGCCAGGTGTTCAATCATGCCAGGTGTTCAATCATGCCAGGTGTTCAAACATGCCAGGTGTTCAAACATGCCAGGTGTTCAAACATGGGTTGTTATATGATTGTGTTGAAAACCAGCTTCCCCTGTACGTGTGCCGTCCTGCAGGCATGGAGCGCCACTGCTCTGCTGAAACCGACGGCTCACGTTGCATTGGGCTGTGAGGGCGATGCCTGCTGCTTCATCTGCACCCAGGTTGGGTTGCCACTAGTTTGTTCCGCAGCCACCAGTTTCCTTGTTTGCCATGCTCGATATACGATAAGTTGTTCTTTTCACAATGTATAACTTCTTCCTGGCTCGCTTGGCAGGGTCACTTGTTTGGACTGTACAAGTCACCACACGCGGACTATTCAGATGATGGGTATTTCAATAGGGATTCAGAATTCGATTATGATGACTACTACTCTTACCTGTCAAAGTATATGCTTGTTATACATGTGTAGGCTGTAGTGGGGTAGCCAATATGGGGTACAGCCCCTTTTAGGGTTTCATACTTGTACCCAACTCTGTCATAGTTCATTCATTCCTGTCTCTTGATTTTGACATGGTTTCAGAGCAATAGGTCCGTAGGACCGTTTTTTTTTTTTTTTTTTTCGGGCCCACCTACTGCTACCCCACGACTGTGACTGTGACTGACTGTGCCTGTGACGTGCTGCGCTGCGCGCGCCGTCTGCCTGCTGCCTACTGTCTGCTGACTGTGCGATCTGCTGCTGCTTAGAGCGCGCAGACCTAATTCCTGCGCGCGGCTCGTTTTTTGCCCCACGAGTCGCCCACCCTGCCCGAGTCGCGCCTCGCCAGCCCGCGCGCGCCGCGACCGCTGCTCGCGCGTCGCGCTGCAGCCCCGCGCGCCGCGCGCGCTGCCCGCGCGTCGCGCTGCAGCCCCGCGCGCCGCGACTCACCTGCCTCTGACGCGGCCGCGCACTGCTTCTGACGCGGCCGCGCCCTGCCGCCGACACGGCCCCGCCCGGACGCTGACGCGGCCCCGCCAGCCCTGCAGCTGACGCGGCCCCGACCTGCCGCTGACGCGGCCCCGCCCTGCAGCGGACGCGGCCCCGACCTGCCGCTGCCGCGGCCCCGCCCTGCAGCTGACGCGGCCCCGCCCTGCAGCTGCCGCGGCCCTACTCTGCAGCTGCTGCTGCGGCCCCGCCGTCGCCGCCGTCGTGCGCCTACCCTGCCGCCGCCCGCCGAGCGCCGGCCCTGCCCGCCACTGGTGAGCACCTGCCTTGTTCGCGCACTGCAGCACCCTCTGCCTGCCTGTCTACCTGCCTGCCTGCCTGCAACTCCTGCCGCACCTGCCCTGCCCGAGCTGCTGCTGCTACTGTTGCTACTGGCGGCGGCCAGATGCAGCTCCAGCGACGCCCGCGCGAGTCTCTCACGCCTCAGCAGCTTCGTGAGTGGTACGCTAGTTGGGGTTGTGGCGGTAGCCGTCGTGACTGTCGCCCTGGAGCTGGTCGGTCGGGAGCGTCTGGCAGTGGCCAGCTGCAGCTGCAGCGGCGTCCGCGCGAGACACTTACGTCCCGGCAGCTTCACGAGTGGTACGCTCAGAGTCGAGGGTCTCAGAGTACCGTTCGCTGCCCGTACGTCCCACGCACAGGTGATCGGACTGGTCAGGCTTGCGGGACACTTGGTCACACCCAGTCCCGCTGCTTCACCCGTCTGAGCGACGACTGGCGCACCGAGTTTGGTGACGAGGCTGAGCTCCCCTCCTGGCTGGAGCTGCTTGGGCAGGGGGTAGATATCTTTGCTCTTGACTATGATGCTATTCTCACTGCCATGTATGCATTGCCTACTAGTGATGACCGTGCCTGTTCCCTGTGCGTACCGCCTGACCCAGGTATAGAGGCTGCTGCTCTAGGTGCTAGTGCGTCTCCTGCGCTAGGTGCTGGTGAGGCTGCTGCTATAGGTGCTCGTGCGTCTCCTGCTCTAGGTACTGGTGAGGCTACTGCTCCAGGTGCTGGTGAGTCTGCTCTCTCTGGTACTGCGTCTGCTGAGGCCGTGTACACCTTCACACTTGACTCAGGTGCTTCCCGCTCCTTCTTTCGCGACAGCACCACACTCACACCGCTCCGTCGGCCGGTTGCAGTCTCCCTGGCAGACCCCTCTGGGGGTCCAGTCCTTGCGCACTCCTCCACGGTCTTGCCGTGTCCTACAGTCCCGTCTGGCTCCCTGTCAGGTCTTCACCTCCCCTCGTTCTCTACGAACTTGGTGAGTGGAGCTGACCTACAGGATGTGTGGGTTGACCAGTTCACCCCTGGAGGTCAGCGTGTGACCCACTGTACGTGCTCCCGGACTGGTCGGCACCTGGCCACGTTCACCCGAGAGCCTGGCTCGAGTGTGTACACACTGACCACTGTGTCCCCTCAGGTAGCTGCGTCTGCGTCTGCGTTTGCGTCAGGTCAGCTAGCGGCCCCCTGCTCGTGTCGCGCTTTGTCGCACCAGACCGTCCTGTGGCACCACCGCCTTGGTCACCCCTCGGTGCAGCGCCTTCGTAGCATGCACCGCCGTTTCCTTGTCTCTGGACTTCCAGAGACTCTGCCTCCTCTACCGCCCTCGCCTGCTCCTCCCTGTCTTCCCTGTGTCGAGGGGCGGCAGCGCGCCGCTCCTCACTCCTCCTCGTTCCCTCCCACAGAGGCTCCCTTGCAGACTCTCCACCTGGACGTGTGGGGCCCAGCCCGCGTCCGTGGACAGGGCCGCGAGCGGTACTTCCTGCTGGTCGTCGACGACTACACGCGTTACACCACGGTCTTCCCCTTGCGCAGCAAGGGGGAGGTCCCTGATGTTTTGATCCCCTGGATTTGCGCTGCTCGTCTCCAGCTCCGCGAGCGGTTCCACTCGGACTTTCCTGTCCTGCGTCTGCACTCTGACAGAGGTGGTGAGTTCTCCTCAGACCTCTTGGCAGCCTACTGTGCGGAGCACGGCATCCGCCAGTCGTTCACGCTTCCGGCCTCTCCGCAGCAGAATGGGGTTGCTGAGCGCCGCATTGGCTTAGTCATGGAGGTCGCTCGTACCTCCATGATCCATGCGGCTGCCCCCCATTTTCTGTGGCCGTTTGCGGTCCGGTACGCCGCGCATCAGCTCAACCTCTGGCCCCGTGTCTCCTTGCCGGAGACCTCGCCCACACTGCTGTGGACGGGGAAGGTTGGCGATGCGTCGCGTTTCCGGGTCTGGGGTGCTCGTGCCTTTGTCCGCGATACCACTGCGGACAAGCTCTCCGCCCGCGCTGTTCCCTGTGTCTTCCTTGGCTTCGTCCCTGACGCGCCTGGTTGGCAGTTTTACCACCCCACCTCGCGCCGTGTCTTCCCCTCTCAGGACGTCACGTTCGACGAGTCGGTTCCCTTTTACCGTCTCTTCCCCTACCGCACTGCCCCTCTCCCCCCCCCGCCGCTCTTCCTCGCTCCAGGTGCTCCCCAGGTAGACCCCCTCCCCGCTCCCGGTCCTGCTCCTTCAGGTGTGTCTCAGGTAGACCCTCCTCCTCAGGTTGAGGTCACTGGTGACTCAGGTCATGTTGAGGGTGGTGCTGCTGCTGGGGGTGCTGAGCCTGGGGGTGCGGAGCCTGGGGGTGCTGAGCCTGGGGATGCTGAGCCTGGGGGTGCTGAGCCTGGGGGTGCGGAGCCTGGGGGTGCGGAGACTGGAGGTGCTGAGCCTGGGTGTGAGGAGTCTGGGGGTGCTGAGCCTGGGGGCGCTGAGGCGTCTGGTGAGCAGTCTCCCGGGAGCGGCCGTCTCCGTAGTCGCTCCGCTGGTGCCTCGCCGCTGCACTCTCGTCGTCGACTCCCTCTCTCCCAACAGCAGCTGTTTGAGTGGTACGCTGGCCGTCAGGGTCGCGCTGCTGGAGCTAGGGGCCCTGCTGCGGGAGGCGCTGGAGCTGGTGACTCTGCCACTGGAGTTGTTTCTACTGGAGGTTCTGGAGCTGCTGAGGGTACTGGAGCTGGAGGTTCTGGAGCTGCTGGTGGCGCTGGCGCTGGAGGTTCTGGAACTGCTGAGGGTGCTGGCGCTGGAGGTTCTGGAGCTGCTGGAGGTACTGGCGCTGGTGGCGCTGGAGCTGGAGGTTCTGGAGCTGCTGAGGGTGCTGGCGCTGGAGGTTCTGGAGCTGCTGCGGGTACTGGAGCTGAGGGTTCTGAGTCTGCTGTTGCGCGGTTTCCTTGGAGTAGCCGCCTTCGTCCGCGTGTGCCTCTCACCTCGCAGCAGCTGCACGACTGGTACGGTCGCCGTCAGGGTCGCGCTTCTGGAGCTCGGGGCTCTGCCGCTGGAGGTACTTCTGCTGACGTCACTGGAGCTGGGAGTGGTGCTGGTCTCGGAGGTGCTCGTACTGGAGGTACTGGAGCTGCTGGGGCTGGAGGTGCTGAGCCTGAGGGTGCTGCTGCTGGAGGCACTGAGACTGGAGACCCTGGGACTGAAGGTGCCGGTTCTGGGGGTGCTGCTGTTGGTGGAGCTGGTCCTGGAGGTGCTGGAGCTGGTGGCGCTGGAGCTGGAGTTTCTGGAGCTGCTGTGGGTGCTGACGCTGGAGGTTCTGGAGCTGCTGGAGGTACTGGCGCTGGTGGCGCTGGAGCTGGAGATTCTGGAGCTGCTGAGGGTGCTGGCGCTGGAGGTTCTGGAGCTGCTGGAGGTGCTGGAGCTGCTGGGGGTACTGGAGCTGCTGGTGCTGGTGTCACTGCACAGCCACGCCTGTTCTTCGCTCCACCGTCTCCGTCGTCTCAGCCACCGCCTGACTCTGTGCTTCGCCAGGTTCTTAGTCTCCCTTCGTCT